CTTACCTTTGTCTGGATGTCCCTCCAACATTGGGGATCCATCTGCTGGAAGCGCCATAGTATGGCCTGTGAAGGAAAGAAACAAAGCAAAAAAAAAAAGCTATAATTCAGTATCTTGAAGTTCACAAAAGTCCAAAGCAATGTTTCAAGGGAACACTGAAATACCAACAATACAATAACCCAGGTTTGTGAATGTGTTTGTTTTTCTTAAATTAACAATATTATTGCTATACCAGATACAACAAGAACGGGAATTAAGAGATAAAATGTCTATATGCTAACACATACAGTAAGTCACTAAACAATTTAAATTAACTCACAAATTTGTTTCACCCCACAACTGCAAAAGAGACCTATTAAAGTTATATATTGTTAACGGCGGCCACGGATGGATTGTAAAGGTACGGGATAATAACCACGCCAGGAGGGAATAATGTAGATCTTCTTTTAATGAAGATAACCGAACATGAGTACAACTGGATAGTTTATGTGCTCTAACGCCGATGCAGACGAACTTTACATGTCCACACCAGAGTCAGCGAGCATCCAGAACTAAAACAAAAACATTCCCCCCAGAACACACAACTGCTGCATGCAGAATTCTGTTAACGAAGTAAATGAACAGTAACGCACTTAAACTCAGATCAGTCTAGTCAGTATGGGAAATGATACAGAGACAAGCAGATGCATACAAGTACTACACTATTTCAAAGAAGTCATCAACATTTCAAATAATTGGACACCAAAGTAATCAACCCTGATGTTCTTAGATTAAATATCCCCATTTTCTTTTTCAGATCAATTCACCCATGTTTCCTGGCTATGCTTAAAATAAATAAATAAATAAATAAATAAATAAAAAGACATCAACATGTCCCTATCTTGAAAAAAATAATGAAACTAAACAATTAAAATATAGGCTATTATAAGGGTAAATACTATTTTTTTATGTTTTTAAAAAATAATACTAAATATTTAATGTATTTCATTTAGCGTATCCATGGAAACTGAGTGTTTATCACGGCATTTTTCAAAAAATAACTTTCAAAAACAAGCTAATTTTCCAGGAATTTGACGTTAATTTAACTAATTTGAATATAATTAAGTAAAATACATTTCTTAAATCATTATACCACATTTAAAAATTCCTGACATTTCCAGCGAAATTCAGTCAAGAATAAAGCTCATTGGATAAGAAAGGTGCTATCAAAAAATGCTACTTGTCTTTTTTTCTACAGCAGTCAGAATTTCTTTAAAACACAAAATAAACTCGTCTTCGCATAGCATAGCTAAACAAGTCACTAATATCCTAGTAATAACTTGCTTTCGTTTATTAAAAATAGTAGAAGAATAATTTCGACCTTCCAGCTGATCACCCTGCTGATGCTTCTCCTGGCCAGGAACCGTCTTTCGCAGGTTTGTTCACCAAGGGCTTCTTCAGCAAGTTTTGCTAGCAGACTTCTCGACAAGCTCAAACCTTCCGAGGCTTTAAATGCTCCTTTAAGCGTCTCTCTCAAAAGTCCCGTCGCAAAGGGAAAGAATTCAGAAGGTCAGGGTCATTTATAGGGTTGAGAACGCTCATGTCTCCATGACTTTCATTGACGAACACACGCACTGGTCTGTGAGAGAAATTGGACTACAAATAATGCAGGTAATACAAGTATCGCGTTGCCTTGTTTATCACTCCATATGCTGCCACCTACTGGCCAACCAGTCTAAGTTCACAATGACATTTTTACAACACGACTGGTGCGACTTAATTTTTCTGCTTTTATTCTTAACTATGTCAGTTTCGGACCTCCAAATGGGAAAACTTCTCTCTGCCGTGAAGCCTCGATTGGAAAAAAAAATTCAAATTCAAAATTCAATTCAAAAATACTTTATTGACCGAAAAGCAAAATTAAATGTTGTAACTCATTGATTCAGATTCTTCAAACATTTATTGCAGATGGCTGATTGCTGTNGGCANGAAAGATCTTTTGTAGCGGTCTGTATCACAGCAAATTTGAAGAAGCCTCTGACTGATGATACTATTTTTTCAAGACGGTCTCATAAAGTGCATGGTCAGAGTTGTCCATGATTTTCTTAATTTTATGAAGAATTCTCCATCGTTGCTGTCTTCTCTCTCCTGATTGGCCTAGTGTTGCTGTCTTGTCTGAGTTATGCTGGAGAATCTCTGTCTACATAAAAAATGATTGAAAGAGACTTTCTGATCAAGTCATCATCATGTCCTCACCTTTTCCACAATCTGTTACAACCAGTAGCTCAGCAGATGGAGCATTACTTCTTGAATTGTTGGTCAACAAGTCATGTGACATGAGTTGACGGAGAAATAAAATAAAGATTAAAGACAACAGAGTTAAAAAAAGAAGGGAATATACCAATGACGTGCAGTCAGGGGAGGCAGGTGAGGCTCTGCCTCACCTGTCATCATGGAAAAATAAAATATAATAAAATCATTTATATTGCAATTTTCACCCTGTGGTTTGTACTATAAAGTATGTATTGTTTTACTTATCTTAGCCAATTCTGATGATTTTTTCTTCAAAATCGCTGGATTTTCGCATTTTCCCATTCAAATGCTCAGAAGCGAAGCCGGTGAGGCAGCAGGAAGCTGAGCCTCACCTGGACTGATCAACCTCGCTAACTGCACTGGCTGCCATTCTATGGGGGCAAGTTCGTCCTGTCTGTATGCCGGTAATAAAATGGCTAAAAAACATTTAATATATGGACTGATTTTCCATAATTTAGCTTATGTATATAATGTACAGTGTTTTTTGTCACCAACTGTGTGTGTATCCTGTTTTGTGTGCGGAGGAGCGATCAGAAACGGCAGAAAACAGACTCCAGGTGAGGCAGGCAGTTCTCTTGCCTCATGGCAGGGGGCGCTCATGATCCCAGATATTGTGACTCCACAACTGCAGAGTAAGACACAGTGAGCTAGCCATGGAGCTAGCCATACACAGTAAATAAGTAAAGTACAGCGATATATTTGTTTTCTCCTTTCTTCCGACGTAAACATGAAAGTCTACATTTCTACACTTAAACAGTTTTCTAAAGTGGATTTTAAATTGAAGCAGGAAATAATAACTAAAGGAAGACCAACACCGGAGCTGAAAGTTTTGCTTTGAGACAGTTTGATGATTCTTAAACTGAGTAGAAAAGACATGCCGAGGATAGACTTGGCTTTAGATGAACGGATATTTTTGTGCAGAATTAGCGGTGCATGGATTTCATTGATAGAAAAAGGTAAGACAGCAATAAGATGTTTTTTTTATGAAATGTGCGTTTTGTGGGCTACAGTTTATGTCTAAATAATTCAGTAAAGTAGAAGCGGTAGCTAATCTACCACAGCAATTATTTATTAATAAAACATTAAGCATAAAACATACTACAACATACTGAATATTCTGTTCTGTGTGCAAAATTCTTGAATGTTTTTTGGTGTTAAATCCTAAAACATGAAGTGGCATTGTTGTCAGTTGCTATGGCAACGAGTCTGCGTAGCTTGGCGAATACAGATCACTTTGCTGTGGATCATAGCACGAAATTAATACCGACATTTCTAAGTTTCACTGAGTTAACGCGGCTATGGATGACATGTAAAAGATTCGCCTTTTTGCCCCCCAACATTGTATGCAAGCGCAAAATTTCCGTAGGTCTAATAATGTTATTGGACGTGGTGTCTAAGTCATAAGTCAGTGCCTCACCAGCAATGAACCTCACCGCACGTCACTGGAATATACGCAGTAAAAATGCCCGTGTTAAAATCTTTGGTGTAGCGTTAAATAAAAAGTGTGAGTGTTGTTTTATTAACATCACACAACTTTAAAATAACACTGCCGGTGTAACCTCTGCTCCGTCATATTTTTTTTTTTTAAATGAAATGAGATTTTATTCGAACATGATACAAATACAAATATAAAAATAAAATAGTGCACAGTAACAAGAAGTGCATAAAAAAGAAGTTTCAGTTAACATATCATGCTCAAAATGGGGTAGGAAGAAGTGAGAACTTATAAACTCCTACCCCCTAAACACTATTTGCACATATTTGCGTTGTTAAATTCCAGTAATTGGTTGGTCTTGCTTAAGCCACACCTTCAAACACAGGGGATATTTACAAATTTAGGAAAACATTATTTATTTGTCTTCAAAATACATTTTAAAAAAATAGAATTTAATAGATGTAAAGTAGTGTTGCTACACACTCGTATACAGTAGGTGGCGGTATGCACTTCAAAGTTGCTTGCGATCCGCCGTAATAGAACAGAAGAAGAAGCCGGTCTTGTGGAACGGCTTTTTCGCACACGAAAGACACAATTCTTTCCTAAGGGTGAGCTAAATACCCAGACATAACTATTGTTTCGTTGGAAATTGTGTTTTTTAATTTGCGACTTCAACAAGCGCACTATATTGCATGGAAAATTCACCAAACTCAAGGTTCCACGTTTTGCCAAATCTAGGCGAACAGGTAAATTTGAATTCTGTTATATTTGGTAAGTTCTAGTGTTATTTTACATCTTGAATAATACTTGTATAGCTCAATGACTTGAAATATTGGCCATATGTGAATCTAAAAAGTCAACATTGCAAACTGCTAATATTAAGCCTCCAAGAAAAAGGATGTGGGGATTTTTTTTGTTATTCCCTTGCAAAGTTGTTCGTTACGTCGTGCATTTTTCGTAAGACTACCCTCAACATAAAAAGATTTAGTTTTTAATCCAACATAAATGCCGAATGTTTTCAAATATTTTGTATAATTTATGGTTTCATTGTGAATGCTGTCTGGTTCATCAGCGTTGCAATAAAGTGTTGCTAGGTAAGGCTAAACTTTTGAGAGGGAACACTAGAGAGCGAAAAGAAATCCTCTATGTCTCCTTGCGCCTATTTGACTATAGAGTTAAAATTTACATTAAGTAATGCTTGCCTGACAATATGTTGTATCAGAAACCAAATTAAAGCATCAGGGCAATAAAAAAATAGAAGACAAGGGAGAACATAGAATTTATGATTGAGGGATTTAATTAAGAGCTTTTATTCAGAGGGACCATCGAGAACAGGATGGGACGGAAGGAAATAAGAGCATATGGAGTAAAGTTTTACGTAGATAAACTATTAATCTCATGAAACAAATAGTTTATATGGCCAATAACATGTTCATGTGTTGCAACACAGAAAGATCATAAAAAGAGAAGAGACATTAAAAAAATACCCAAAACTTGTCTCTGATCCAGATTCAAACTTCTCAGATCTCTGATTCTCTGATCATCTCAGGTTGGATGATCAGCCTGTAAACCTCCACCTTCAACACCACCAGTCAGGTGGAGGAAGATAAGAGAACCCAGTTGACAAAAAACTTAAGAAAACCTATTTTAACCCATGTAACAATTTTAAACATGGTTAAAATTGAGATCAAATTTCAGACTTTTTCTTTTTTCTGTAGCTGTATATTCTCTTTTTCAACCCCGTTGATGTAAAAAAACAAACAAAAAAAATGTGTTACTTGTGCCTCAAACTAAGCTTCTCTATTAGTCTAATCTAATGGCTCATGGCTGCAGCATCTGAAAAAACATAACTATCAAAAAGCGAGAGAGTATTTTTTCAAAGCTATTGGTTCACTTCTTTAGAATGTTGAGATCAACTTAGTTTCTTTTCTTGTGCTGGTGAGACTCCACAGTTGATACCCCCTTATTCACATTTCAGTATTTTATATGTGGAACATGACTCCAAATTGTGCGGAAAATTTGTGATTTTTCATAGAGCATATCTAAAATATTATGAAGAAAATGCATATTGAGATGCTGAAACACAGAGGAACAATGAAAATGGTTGGTTTGCTTTTGCGAAGCAACTAATCCAGGAGCGCCATTTGTTTTCCTTGGCCCTGATTGGCTGTAACCCCAAGACCACAGACAAAGGTTAAAAGAAAAGTGGAAGACTGTAGATGTCAGCTTTTGCACTGAGCTAAGACCATTTATATAATTCATAATAATGTTTATTGATATTATCTTGTATTTGTTGTAGTGCTAAGATGGTTTCCACTCTGCACATTAATGGATGCTAAGATATAATTGGTGCTTGAACAATTAAAATAGGCAGTTGTAAGCATGTTTAGTTTGGGTCTCAAGTAGTTCCAGATTTCTGCTTCCTGTTTTTAGAGCGGTTTCCCCTTTGCTTTCATCGAAACGCACCGGCGTTCACTTAAACTGAACTAAGAGCTCGGTTTTAGACGGACCAGAGTTCGATTGTGCGTTCGCACCTCCCAAAACAAACCAGACTTTCTAGGCTAACGGAGTAGAGTTTGATTAAAGCGACAGGGCTGGTGTGAGTACATCTTTAAAAACGGTCCAGTTTCTTCTTGCCATACAATATTCCTAAGTGAACGTTTCAAAAGCAGTGTGCCAATACCGTTTCAGTAGCTCGAACCTCGGTAAGGTTTTGAACAGCGTTATGCCTTGCCTGTACTTTGAGACTAATCAGTTTTGAGTACAGATGACGCCACCTCCATGCCACCCTCCAACAGCTCATATGTTAGGTCCTTCATGTCGCCTCCCCCTGCTCATATCTAATTCACTGACTGCATCACTGCCTGTCCAGACGCACTAAAGTAATTCAAGTATGCCTTGTTTGATTTGGGCCGGGGCCTTTCAAAACTAATACCTGTAAGCCTTATAATACAGTAATTTGTAGCGGCTGGGGTAGGAGAACATGGATTTATCAATAACTGGGCTTATTGAGTTTTGATTTGGGGGTTTTAGCAGGCAGACGAGGGGCACACTGATGGGTTAGGTTAAACGGAGGTTACTCAATAAGGGGGTGGCTGTTATTCCTAAACTGAAGCAGGGGAACTTATAGCGTGTCTGTGAGCAGGCACTGACAGCCTCGTAGACTGACACTCTGTGTATCTCCCATGGGGGAAATGGGTAGAAGACATTCACGCAGCCACATATATGTGCACAAGAAAATGTCGGTATTTAGTCTAGCACACAAGGTTTATAAAAGCCCTATTATAATTTGCCTTTCATCTATTAAGCATTGACTGTGTTTATTTTATATGAAGGAAAGGAAAATTAAGTATTTCACAGGTAAAAATGTTAAGAGGCATGGATGAGGTAAAGTGCTGCGTACGTCTTAAGCATTTGCTGCCTCTCTCTGGTTTTCTCCCAGAATTGTCGTGCCGTTGTCAACAGATTTAGATTCAGCTCCTATAGCGTAACCGTGGGCCTCTGGGCTGCTTCTCTGATTAATGCTCTTGTTGCCTCATCTGCCAGTTTGGTGGACTTCTACGTCTTGGTAGGTTTGCCGTTGTGGTACCCTGCCCATTGCCTTCCTATGAAATCTTGCTCAGTCCTTGTCTTCCTTCAGCGCTCCGTCTAGCATTTAATTGACAGTGGCAGGAGATGTGACATTGAGTTCCGTGTTGTTTTTGAATTGCAGTTCCCCTAAGGTTTTAGTTTTGTCAATGGCGGCGGAGAAAGCGAAGGGAGCCATTCGGTCTGGTTTTTTGGCCATGCTTCCAAATATTGAGGGATTAAAGTCAAATGTCAGTCTGTGTTTTTTAAAGTGAAATTTGCTGCTGAGCACACCAGTCTGACTCCCCTCGTTCATCTTTTCACTTGTATTTACAGCTCTATGTTGCTGACCGTAGTACAAGACCGCGCCACTGTGAACTAAGTAACCCTCTGAAGAGAGGCTTTTTGATAAAAAAATAAATAAATAGGTATTGTGATTAGTTTGTATTAAGTTATCATTGACAACCTGGCTTAAATCCTAACCAGATTAATGTAATTGATGTTTTCACACCTGCATTTTTAACGAGTTCTTCCCTTATGCTCTCTGCCATTCTGCTTCCCTCTTGCTCCATGTCTTGACACCTGCCGATTATATCATGAACAACATTACTGCAGTTAGCCGGTACAATACAAATCTCTACCATAGGCCATATGTCTGTCGTTTCTACAGCGTACCGCATGTATCGCACATTCCTAGTCTACAATCGTATTTCGTTAATTGCAGAAGACTTCCAGCAGAAGATGATACGTGATGGATCTAAGGGGTGTATTTAATGTACTTCCAAACTTTTTATATGGAGTACAACTAAATGCATATGTGCCCACAGAACCACAAACATACAACCCACAAAGGGAATGCATTAGGTTTCCTGCTTACTGTCTCTGGGTCATACAGGGCTCCTGAGCCAGGAAAGTGGCTGCATAATGAGCAGCGGAGATGAAAGCAGCTCTCCAGGCAGCAGGAGGTACACTTCTTTGCACTGGGAAGCTTTCCTTTTCTTTTTTGGGAGGGCTGGGACTATCTAATTCCAAATCTCTGAGGACAAAACAGGAGCAGACAGAGCAGATGGTAGTGATAAGATAAAACCTCCTCCAGAGGGAACGAACGCAGGAACACATGTTGAATGGTTGTTTACCAGAAATCATTGCAACACTGGAAGATTTTTCTTTTCTATATTTCGGAGCTATTTAAAGTTTGTCAAATTAATCAATTACTATGGGGTAAAGAAGTATTTGATACGACATAGTAATTTTCCAAGTTTCCCTTCTTGAGCAGAAGAGACGTCTCTAATGTTAATTGCATTGTAGGTACATTTCATTTGCTGACCCGAGCAAGGGGACCTTGTATGCATGGCAGGATCTTAATCCATGATGGCACAGTGTGTTACTAATGGTGAAATTTAATATTTCTGCTGCTGGTAACCTTGGTAACTATGGCCCCAGCTCTCCTCAGGTCATTGACCAGGTTCTCTCATTTAATTCTGGGCTGACTTTTCACCGTTCTCAAAATCATTGAGACCCCAAAAGGCGAGAACCAGCAAGGAGTTTTAGGAATATTTCTGGAGCATGTAGGGGAATTTCATTGATTGATGAAAATATCCTGGCTTTTAAATTGACTGCATGGAAGAAGACAGGCTTTCTTAGACGTCCTCCCCGAGCTGTTGCCTAGCTGGAGGCAAAGTGCTGTGGAGTGGAGATGAGTGCAGAAA